GAGGACATGTTCGAAAGGCCGGATTAGCCACCCAAGGCAGGTTGTTGATGAGACAGACTGCTGGATGTGTGAACCAAATTCTCCGCCTTCCTCCACAGCTTTGTGATCTGGTTCAGCACGGCTGCACGAGTTGGAGTCATGCACCACACTGCATTGCTCCGCACGGCTCTCAGGACAGCACACTAGTGGTCTAGTGCCATTCAAGATCCTCACTGCTCCAGTGGAGACGATCGGCCCTCGACTGCCGTCCCAAGTCTTTCTCATACACTTTTTACCCCCCCAAGAAGCAGTGGCGTGTTCGCGGTGCTCTGCCTCTGACTTTCTTGTGCCATTGATGGCCCTGCGTTAAGCCACTTTGGGGGTATAACTGAGTTTTGGCCTATTGGCGTTTCTGATAACTTTCGTTGCCCACATCTCCCACGCTGTTCCCCCCCTCCTTCTCCTAAAATAGTCGCGCTCCATCTGTTCTTTTTTTCTCTTCCCATAACCTTGCTTCAAATCCTTGTCCTTTTAGACTGCGACCATTGTCGCTAGCATTCTCTTGTTACAAGACCATATCTGATCCATTCTGTCCTTCCTTCCATTGCACCTTTAGTCTATCTCTTGCACATACTTGGTCGGTGTGCCCAAGCACCACAATCTTTGTATATACATACTACCGTCATTCTCTTCGGTCTATCAATTCCCCACTCTCATTATCGGAGTTCCTCCCCCTTTCCCTCAGTGTCTCCAACGGTCCTTGCGCACGCACCCACGCGCTCTTCATTCCCTAACAAAACTCGAGATTCGTGCAGTGTTCTTCGACCGAGTGTCTCATGCAACACCGATCTTCAAAATGAGCGTTGTCGCCAGTAGACCTACGAGCACGCCTGTCTCCTACAGCGCTATTCCTCACCAGAGCCAGGTCATTTCAGATTACAAGGATTCGATGTATGCCGTGACGGTGCAGCCGGTCTCATCTCGCACATCATCGGTCTCTTCATTCAAAAGCAACTACAGTGTTTCAACTGCTCCCACAGAATACTCTACCTCCCCTGTCTTCTCGGCATCACTTCCTCGCTTCTGCGACTCGGCTGCGTCTCTGGATAAGATCTTGGAGTCGGTCTTCAAGCGTTTACCCCAGGAGGTGTACGATGTGATTTTAGATCAATTATACTACTTACACACAGGCCCCAACCAAAATGGATGCCTAACATGCTTCCAACGCGACTTACATGCGCTTTCTCTAACCTGTCGCCCGTGGGAGAAGGCAGTCAGAGCAAGACTGTGAGTGATGGCACTAGTCTAAGAACGACATTGGAGCTAACAGATCCTCCCATCTTAGGTACAACCGCATACACATCATTGGGAACGATTCACCGAACCAATTGAAGAAATATCGATTGAAGCGCGGAAGTCGCCTCAAGCTATTACGGCGAACCCTCCGGGAGAGGAAATTGCTGGCCAATCTTGTTCTAGAGCTTCGAGTACCCCAACTAGACCTGCTATTCACAACAATCCGACACAGCACCCAATGGCAGGAATATCGGGATTTGGTCGCATCCGTGGTCATGGTCTGCCCGAACCTGGAACGGCTGCTGGGCTTGACCATTCCTTACCATCACGAATTTGACCGCCTGACACATGCGTTATCGACGCGGCGAAAGCTGAAGGAGCACACATGGATCTTGGGAGAGGCTGCGGCGATAACTGAGAGATCGCCTCGAAGTACATACTGCCCCTGGAGCTTGGGCCCATCACAAATGTTCGAGTTCCTCGACTATCATGCGCAGTGGACATCCTTGGAAACCCTGATGCTTTACGGGCTCGATGAGAAAAACTCCCTAGAGCCAAGTATCTTCCTTCGCATGTGCAGTGAGCTACCTTCGTTGCGAAACCTCTGCATCTCCAATTTCGACGCAGACGCCTTCAACGACAGCACCTTGCAATGCCTACCACCGCTGGATTCGCTCCGCCTGGAAAATCTCCCGGGAGTCACCGACACGGGCCTCTGCCAGTACGCATCGCAGCCCGAGTCTAGCTCCCTTAAATCTCTCGCTCTTATTGAACAAAACATCGACTCGCTCCTGGTGATCTCGAAAATGCTAGCATCTCTCGGGCAGCTTGAACGCTTCACTTTCGTTCAAAGCAATAAATGCCCGACGCTGAATACCGACGGTATCGTTTTCCAGCCGCTTCTAGCCTCGTCAAGTCTCGTATATCTTCACTGGGATGTTTCCGGCCCCGACTCCGGTGCTGCCTTGGGCAGACTCGACTACGTCCCGTTCATCAAACCACCCCGGCATACGGATTCACCAAACTCACATCTTGCTCAAAGCATTCTTGCTAGCGGGTTTCCTCGTCTCGAGGCTCTGCGTGCGCCATCAGACATAGAACCTCCCGGGGTCCTGCAGGCTGTGTGCCAGCCTATGCCACGTGGACAGGCGCTGCTCAAACCCGATCGCTATAGTCTTCCCCGCAGCTCCCATGGTTCAGTCACAACCCGTCCAATGGCATTGCCCGCAGGAAACAACTTGACTTCTGCTCGCATCCGAGCCCAAACATTCATTGACATGGCTGCCAAGGATACGGAACATGGGATGAGATTCCTCGTCACCGACCATTCGGACTCCTATGTACCGGACAACGCACTCGAAGACGAGTCTTCCGACGATGAATCTGATCTTGGAATGGACGAATTTGACATCGGCGGCGTGGGACGCGAGCGGCACAACCACGATGTCGAGACGGATGAGCATGAGGGACCGGCTGTTGTGTACGATTTCCATATGCCGGCATATATGGGCAGAATTGGTTCCAGGACCAGTGCACAGGACGTTTCGATCCCGCGGTTTGTTCTTCGACCGGATATACCTGGGCAGGATGGAGATGGGGGCCTGGTTTCGTGGAAGAACGTACACGCTTCTAATCAATCCCTGACATACGCTGCTGGAGTTGGGGCGGACTGCTTTGGGGTCAAGGGACACACCAAGCCGCTGGCTGAGGAGCCACCATCCCCGACCTCGACTACTACTTCACGATTTGGATGGGGGAGCATCGGAAGCCGTTCCGCGCTGGGTACGAGTCCGAATACGCCTATAACCCCGTCCACGCCAATGTCGATAGCAGCACTTCCCTGGGATCGCGATGCTTGCACTGGGTCGTGGAACTACAGTCACCGAAGTGGACGAGAATGGTGGTTCCATATGGAACGAGACCGCCCGGGAAATGTCGAGATTGTCGATGCCAAGCGGCTATTTTGAAACCCCCCCCCAAGCATTGTTGGTTACAATACAGCATGCGATAGGAGCATGCACCTACGCAGAAACGGCGTTTACGGACTCTAACGGGCGGACGATCCTTTTTTCTCTCATTACCTTCTGTCTCATCAAACAGGATGAGCCTGGTGATCTCCCAGTGAATCTGGCACATCACGAGGAAACCTCGAGTTCTCTTGATACCACTTATAATTTTCGATTCCCCTGCTCAACACTTACGATCTGGCGCATCTCCGGTCGAGTTCATACATCCTTGACCGCACAATCTCTTTGTATTATACACGTTCCTCCTTTTCTTTCCCCCTGTTTACTGATCAACCCGGGCGGTATTGTTCATCAACCGATAATCCCCTGTACATGGTAGAGAGCTTCTGTTCAGATCCACTGACTGAATCATGTATATTCTCTTGGCGAAGAAGAATTAGTATAAATAATAATCCAAACCATCAATCCAATTTATAAAAGACCGGCAGCCTTCTTGACAGTATCCTGCAATTCCTGACTGCCAGTATCACAATGTTCCTCTCTACTCCCGTTCCCAGGGTGAAACACATTCTGCATGTACTGCACCTCTGCACGTGACGGGGCGCCTCCACCGTTGCTGCGAGTGGTAAACGATGCTCTGGCTAGTAAAGGTTCATGGTGGCGAAGCACAGCCTATGGGGTCGGCTTTGACTCCAGCTCCGTAGGATAGCAGGCGTTGCTGCTGTACCAGCATCTTACTACTTTTCTCAATTGTAGTATTATGCTCGTCAGTACATCCCCGTATAGCATGATCGTTTCTCCCTTCATGTTACTACTACGTGGAACAGACCACCAAACTAACCATCGCCCGGCAGATCTAGGGAAAGGGTATAAGACTTATCAGGTACCCCCGTACAACTTAGGAACATTGCATTGTGACGGGGCCCCGGAGCACCGACTCAGGACCTCTTGATTGAGAATGGGATTCATATGAGCCGAGCCAGTCAAGGTGAAAGACCGGATGCGAATACAATTCTTCTGGTAGCAACATCGCGACCTTCGGGCAAGGACAGACTGTCGCTTGGTTGATTTCACCAGCAGACAGATATCCCGGCCCTTGATGGTTCTCAGTGACAGGCTATGCTAGGGGCTCGGGAAAAGATCTGACCAGGTGCTTCAGCGCTGGAGACTGTTGTGCAATAGATCAGGTCTTTGGGAGATAGGGAGAATGCAGTGGGCTGCATGCATGGCCCTTTTTGGGTGCTCTGGGGGCATTGTTTAATAAGGACGTTTTGAACGCGACGGTCATTGACTTGGCACATCCTTCTTTCTTTAGCCTGACTTTGGTGACAGGTGTGATTTCTATCTCTTAGTGAATCACTTATGGAAATTAGATACCGATATCTGGCTCACTAAATGGTTGAATATGAGTATATCAGCGAGAGAAGGCTGACGAACAATGAAGTAAGGCCCGGACCCGTCCGGACATTGGTGCGAAGCTGTCCAAGCTCAGTATAGTAAATTGACACCAGATCATTGAAGACGAAGAAATCAAAGAGAGGTGAAGGTGAAGGGATGCGAAAGCAAAGCTCTCAAGCTCACATCTGTTGACTCTGTGGGTATCGATGCTCTCACGGTCAGCGTGGTCGCTTAAGTCACTTTTCACTTGGCTATCGGTGGCCATCAATCTGAACCCACCCTCACTAAGTACCTTGCTCGAATTCTCTTAATTGCTACGTCGTCATTCTCTATACCTTGAGATTAACTGGGCTCCCAAGTATGCATAACATCCAGGTTGGACAGCATTATAAGCGAACGGGACGGACCATATCTCCCTGCTCAACTCCCTCAGTGGCAGATATCTTAGCCCTCAGACCCAACCAGGAAATCTTCACAGTTCTAGGCAGGGACCTCTGGGGCAACACGGTACTCCTGCACGACTTGTCGTATGTCTCCAAGGCCGGCTTCAACGTGGGACGCGCCGAGGTCGAGGCGATGCGACTCGTGTCTCAACATACCGCCGTCCCGGTGCCCCACGTGATCCATACCGCATGCAGTGCCGGCTACCGCAATATCGAGATGACGATCGTACCGGGAACCTCGCTCGACGGAAGATGGGATACGTTGAACGAACGGGGCAAGGAGGCCGTCTGCCGACAAACGTGGCAGCTCATCACAGAGATCCAGGCGATTCCGCGGCCACCGGAGCTTGAAGACATTGTCCGGTGCGGCGTCGACGGCTCCGTTCCCCGCGATACCTTCTTCGAAGATCTGCAGGACCCTCCCCGCGCCCTGCGGAGTGATGCCGAGCTGCGGGCCCGCATCTGTGAGCGCTACCAGCACTTCGGCGGCTATCAGTATGCAGCTGAGGATCTATCGAGGATGCTGCCCCGGTCCGGGCGCACCGTCTTCACCCACGCGGACATCGCGCCCCGCAACATCATGGTCGATGCGAACAACCGGATCACGGGGCTTCTGGACTGGGAGCACGCGGGCTGGTATCCGGAATATTGGGAGTACGCGCAGATCCTCCGGTCGGCGGCTTGGGGGGACTGGTCCGAATGGATGGACCGCACGGCACCGCGGCGATGGAATCTCCGGGGGATAGAGGCTGCCAGGCTGGTACTGGCCTTGGTCCCCTCCGATGAGGAGCCGGAGCCAGAGTGGTAGTCACCCACCGGTGGACATCATGGGGATGGGTAGCGGACGGCTGACGGACTGACTTCACTACAAACAGCCTACTCTACCCTCTCCCAGTGGACCTCGAGTCTTCCACCAGCGCCAGTCTTCACATTTTACACAGTACATCCAGCAGCACAGTGACCTACCAACCTGAATACCTTCCGACCGCCCACAATTGTGGCCGAGCGAATCCCGTCGGAATAGGGACGACTAGCTGGACACTCAAAGGCGCCAGCGAAAGGCCCATGAACCGGCTTTGATGTTGCCAGGAGGCTACAGGAGAGTTTCACTGCCACGAATTACGGAAAGGGGTTGGGCGATTGACATATTTGTTTGTAGACACCGCGATAGAAATATTCTCGCACGCATAAAGCTCTCGACCCGGAAGAACGAGAAATGATATAGAAGAACGATTTTCGAAAGCAAAACCCGCCAGAGCGAATGGATAGACCGATCAGAGCCCCGGGAGGGGATGAGAGTTCTTAGCCCCAATAGCGTTGGAACCAGACATCCTCATCCTCGGGGTCGGGCTGACTTGCGTCAGATGGGTTGCTGGCCTTGACTGCTTCCACCATAACCTCAGCTTTGCAAACCAGGTAGGGGTCAGTATCCCTCGACAATTCAACAGCACTGATGTGACGATCGTACGGCACAAATTGGTTGGGAAGATCGTATCGATATACCCCAGGTCGTAGAACGAGGATCACCCGGCCGTGAGGCTTGGGAACCAAGGGCGGAGTATTCTTCCGCTCCCTTTGATGGACCAGACCCGAGAACATAATTCCTGTAGCTGGGTCAAACTGCTTCAACTCGGGCAGTTGATGAACCTTTACTTGTCCTCCCAATGCCAACTCATGCGCTGTGAGATACTGCGCACCGGCTTGGAGAACCCCGATCAGCCTACGACGCCTCGTATCCTCTTCCGCACCGGCCAACTCTTCGAGAAATAGCTGAAACAGGCTGTCCTCTAGAAGATGATCCGCCAGATTCTCTGCTATGTTCGCCTGTCGCTTCCGATTTTCATCCCCGAAAACATAAGGAGGGTTGTCACGAGGATCCCTGGGCGACAAGTCTTTTTTCAGGTTGGCCAGGCCGAGGGTGACCATCCTCCACCAAACTGCGTTCACAGGACTTGCTAAAAGGACCAAGGATGACAAGCACCTTTGTCAGAACCCATCCATCATCAGTCGAAGAGAGAGAACGGGCGGAAACAACTTACCTTCGTGGTATCTTTGATACAGATAGTGGAGTCGCTCAGCGAACGACGGATCTCCAGTCTCATCGTTTTCATCCAGTTTCCCATCCAGAAACCAGAATGGCCTTTCGAGAAACCAGGTGAAGATCAATTTATTGACCATGGCTTCACACAGGTATAGATGAAATTGATCACGGGATTCGGGAGAGAGTAAGGCTTGAATGGTATCCCAAGGTTCTTGAATACAGAATGTATCTAGACCTTGAATGATCTTCTGTTTCTGGTTCTCGGAAAGGGAGGGCATGTCTTCGCAGATGTATTCCTCAGTCCATGCTTTGACCCTAGTATTGAGATCATCATAATTGCGTATGACGGTATCTGGGTTAGGCGAGTATCCAGTCCGAGTGATTGACATGCGGTTACAATGGCTCTGATAGGCCTCGTACTCCTCAGCTGTCAGGTGTACAGAAGGCTTTCTGGATGGCTGATGACTGCCGTCGACTGCCCCGCGTTCCTATATGCAGATCAGACACATGGGTGGTATCTTGGTGGATGGAGAAGGAACTGACTCTCTTTGCTTTTCCTTCTCTCTTCTGGCTTCGTGTGTTCACCATGATGCTTCAACTCTATGAAAATGGAAAGTTGAGTATGAGGATAGAGATAGAAAAGAAAAGATAGAAGAGGGGAGTTCCACCGTGGGTATTCACCGTGGTTATATCCTGTGGGCGTCAATTTCTTACCGTCGGGGGGACTTGGTCTTTCTCTTCGTCTTGTTTCACAAAGCCTGCAAACGCACAGCAAACAACCACCACCACCACCACCACCACCACAACAACAACAACAACATAAACCCCCTCATCCCTCCTCCCTCTGCCCCTCCCCCAAAATCTGCTAGCATTCTCTTTATCTCAGAGCCGGACCAAGACTGCGATTGATCCGCCACCCCGCTCAACCAACTCACTGCGAAATTACCCTGTATCTTTCGATCTCTTCATTGTTCTATCGTGCTGTGGCTTGCCCAGAGAACCATGGAAGAGTCAAGACTGGCTGTGGGAATCGATTTTGGATCCAGCAAGACAGGTATCATACCCGCCAGATTCTTCTTCCTTCCCGCCCGTCCAAATGTGTTCGTCACTCACATCTCCACTTACTACACAGTGATTTCATATCAAGAGTCTAGCTCCGCTCACTTGAGTCCCTATCGTTTCTGCCTTCACGAAAGTCCTATCATCCCGTCGACAATTGCTTATCTGTCGGATGAGCTATGCTGTATTGGCACAGCCGCCCAGAGGCGTTCGAACTGTATCTACTGGCTAAAGCATCTGCTGCATGAATCATGTAAAATAGATGACTCAGGTGATACACCGATCCAGGACCTTGTCCGGGGGGTACGGAACGGACTGCCTCAGAAGCAGCGAGACAATCCCTACATCCTGGTAGCCGACTTCCTCCGGGTGCTGTTACATCACCTCCGGGCCGAGCTGGAATGTATCGTTAATCTCAAAAACCTAACCCCGAGTGTACACTTTTACCGTTCCGGCTACTTGGTCAGAGCACACCCGCATGATGATGAAAAAAGCCATTCAGTTGGCAGGCTTTGAACATCGAAACGCAACAGTCTGCCTCACCACCGAGGCCGAGGCGGTTGCCATGTATGCAGCCACTGAAAGCGGATTCAACATGAGACTGTTCAGCGAGGTAACTAGACCATGCTGCCTAGCTCTCACTTTCGCCGCCAGTTTAAATGACCGAGGCTTTCTATAATAGTTAGATGATGGTGTGATTGTTTGCGACTGCGGTGCAAGCACGATTGTAAGAGGCTCTTTCCAGTGTGAATAAAATAGATTGTGTTCGCTCTACTAAGGCGACAAGCAAGGACTTGACTGCCTTTTTAATCGACCAACCACCCCCTTCCCTTGAGTACCAAAGGTTGACCGCGTACACCAGTAAGCAAGACCCTGGAAAAATGTGATCCTGGCTAAAATCTTACAAGGTCAAGCCTGCGGAGTTGTTCAGCTCCAGTCCCTAATCTATGACAAATTACAGGAGCGTCAGATGATAACCCGCTTCAGGAGGAGAGCTACAAGCATTGATTGTCCGTTCTCTGAATGGGCCCAGAAGACTTTCCCAGCTGGCCCGGCATCGGTCATTGATCCGACTCGCGGAGATCTGCCCCGGGGAGTGATCGAAGAGTGTTACATTAGCCTTGCCAGAAGAATTGTTGGCTACATTCGACAGCAGGTGGATTGCGCCGCTATATACGTGGGTCGAGATATGATTGAAGTGCCCAATCCTCTGAAAGCGTTCAAGGCTAGATCGAATGGCTAGATATGCTTGACAGGAGCTGCTTTTGGTTGGCGGGCTGACCCAGTCCCCTGAACTCTCGGGCATTATTCGGAATATGGTTGAAACCGAGTTCGGTATCACGGTCTACCTGCCAACAGATGTGTAAGACTTCCGTCTACCTCCCATTGCAACATACCCTCTTCTCCCAATTCTTCAAAGCTTACCGAGAGTTTATAGAGATGCTCGGGTGCAAGCGGTCTCCCTTGGTGGCACAATGTGCGGTATCCGCGGGGTAGCTAGATTCAATTTCAAAGTTTGGAAAAACTACTATCTAGCCTGGGAGAGCCAGGAGGAACTTGCGACGATTTTCAACCGGGTAAGACGCGCTCTTAGCCTTTTCAATTGCTGCTGACGTGGTGGACCTGGGGCAGAATTGCTCGTTCAATGACGGCTGTTGCGTGGAGGCTCCTATAAAGGTGTCACGCACCCCTACTGGAGACGCTCGCATTGTTATTATGGCAAGTGATACGCCGCTAAGCCTGACCGAAATTCATGGTAAGTTTACTCATGACCAGAACACATCCTGCATTCTTAGGCTGATTCATTACAATAGCAGGAGAGGGGAATCATGTCGGCAGAATTGACTGCAAATCCTCCCGACTACCGACCAACTTGACACCCATACCACTGGTGGTCGAATGCCAAACCACCGTGAGATTTGAGAATGACCACCTCCCACCAGAACGGGTCCTCAGTGTAGCCGTATATCATGGAGAAGGTCTTGGCAAGCGACTAGTGGGCCACACGAGAGTACTCATGAAGGGTACGCTTTGAGAGCGGCTGCGCCGAGGTTTCCTGCTCAGCTACTGCGTGCAACAGGTGTAGAGCAAGGACGGGAATGAGAGTAGACATCTTGTTTTGCTGAGATAGACAAAAACAAGTGCACTCTCCTTTAGACGCACCCATAGAATCTACCTTGTTAGAAAAACCTGCCATACACAGATCGAGGGGAGGAGAATTCCAAGACCAGTGGAAGCCATATGAATGTTTAGGGGGTATATGTCCTGTCCCATTTGCAGGATACTAATATCAGTTGATGGTCAATATCCTGTGTTATGAATACAAAAGACAAGCATAGACTAAGCGTCTGGCCCTCTTCCTCTACCTCGAAGAGACACCCTTCCGCGTGCCCGCCCAAGAGCTCAAATACGAACCCAGAGAAATCCACAAGGAAGATATCCGCAACAAGAGTGAAGATATTGTTAGTTCGGGGAATCGCTTAGGACACGCACCTTTGTGCTCTCCCCCTCCCCCCCCCCCACGCTTCGCGGTGGGCCTGGGCAGAAACCTGCTGAGTCATCTCAGTATTTCTACCGCCCTTGTGCTTGGCTTGGCCAAAAGCTCCGGCAAGTCGTCCATCAAGTACACTTTGGAGACATTTGCTTATCGCATTCATCCTTACTTACACCTCTTAAAGTCTCATTCAGGGCGTAATTGACATCTTTCATAAGAGATTCGACACAAGCATCAGAAATGCCTCTCATCAACGAATCGCACGACTCCCTGCCATGTGAGTTGCCTCCCCGGAGCTCCAGAGAATTCTCCTTCTGACACGCGTGAATCTTCCTCATAGATATCGAGGCAGAGCCCTCAACTTCAGCCAGAGAAGCGGCGGAGAAGCTCATTGCCGCAGAGCTCCCGGGCGACTTCCAGACCACCATCCACCCGTCTATCCCCGCTTCCCCCGACCCCCAGTTCTCCCCCCTCATGCAGCAGGAGGTGGATCGCAAGGCGTGCGGATCGCCTTTGACTGGTGGAATTGACCTATCACGCTACGAGGCCCCCGAACCGCCCGCCAGAGCATCGGACGGATCCCCCGACCTCGAGGAGTGGCGCCGGACACTGCAGAAGGCCTACACGGCCAGTTCCCACCTGTCCATGCGGCACGACAACCTGGCGCTACTGGAGGAGAACGGGAAGAACGCGTGGCTGATTGGCAACTCGCAGCTGGAAGAGATCCTCCGCGGCCTGGAGAAGGAACTGGCCGAGACCAAGGAGGCTGCGGAGTCGGTCAACAAGGAGAGGAAGAGGGCCCAGGAAGCCAATCAAGCCGAGCTGGAGGGATTGGAGGAGACATGGAAACGCGGGGTGGGCGCGATCCTCGATGTGGAGTTGGCTGCAGAGGGTCTGCGCATGCAGATTCTGGAGCAGAGACGCCAGCTGGCGCAGCAGCACGCGCGGTAACAGCCCTCGTCCTCAAGGGATTTAGATCACTTTGGAAAAAGAGCAGACGGCCGGGCGGGGGGTTATCGCAGCGCAGTGATTCGGCCGGATGGACCGGGAAAAGTACTTTTTTTTCTTCTTCTTCTAGGGTGCTGCTTGATGTCTCGAATGACTGTGGGCCTCCAGAAGGGTTCTCCGCTCCCGTGTGCATTGGAGCATACTCAGCCTTGAATGAGAAAAGAGGGAGGACAGAGCCAGTTTCAACAAACAGGGCGGATCCTGTACCATAATAGCAGGGCTCTAAGTCCGAGGGTCATTGGGGGGAAATCATTTATTGGCGCCGAGCAACTGACGGTGGCAATGCATTGCAGGTGGAGGTGGGGAAGAGCTCTCTGGGTTCTGGCGATCCCCGCACTACAGTTCTTACTGTACCTCACCTCCACCACCTCGAGCACTTCCGGCGTCTGGAACTTCGATCCATGATATCAGCCTGTCAGCTCAAAGCAACCCACAACACGAGCTCCGCTTAAAACCCCCCACTATTGTCAGGGATTGATCTGCACTACTTTCTGCCGTGGCTATTTTCCCGTCCACTGCTCCCCCACAAAATCCTTCGTGCCAATCCTTCCGGCACATCGTCGGCTACTGCACTTATACCTCCCTCAGCTGTCTAGCTGCTTGTTCAACTTCATTGCAATCGCAATGGAATCTTGCTGGTCGGAGTATTGTCTAGGTTGACATTTCCAGTCATAAGCTTGTGCTCTCCTGCCTTCCGTTTGCGTTTGTTCTCATTGAAGAAGACAAAGACGGTTTTTAATGGATTATCTTAGATAATATAAGTTTGACCGGTGCCTGCGCGTTCCGGTTTCATGATGTTCCATACTATCACTCCCATACTATATGCCCCTGCCTAATCGTATCCCTGGGCCACTTACTGCATGATGAATGCATCGCCCCCTCTCTATATGCGGGGAAGCTCTTTGTTTCCAGCTACATACCCCAGCTTTCTCTTCTCAACCAAGTCATCCAAGAGTCATCCAAGCTGATAACCCTCGTCTACTATAGCAGTACCCTGACTCGGGCGACATACTGATTGGCCGCGAGCGGTCAATGCCTGTCTTGACCATGGAGGGTCAAGGAGTCGTATGCGGGGTCATGGACGATTTGTGCGGAGACAGACTTCGTTTGTTGTGACACTCTTGCCCTATCGTGTCTAGTCATGACGACTGACAGATTTCAGTGGAGGCGGGGTGTGGGCTATATAAACTCGATGAGCATCGAAGGCCGCCAGGGATTGAGTCTCATCTCTGTTCCATAACCGGGGAGCACTTTATACTTTCCAGAAAGCACTGCATCGCATCACAGCCATGACCATTCCCGATGAATATGATATTATCGTCTGTGGCGGTGGAAGCACTGGGTGTGTGGTGGCCGGCCGCCTCGCCAACCTGGACCACAATCTTCAGGTCCTGCTGATTGAAGCCGGCGAGGACAATCTGAACAACCCATGGTAAGTTCTCCCCCTATTTGTGGTCAGAGCACTACCAACCGTGTCTTAGGGTTTACCGCCCGGGAATTTATCCCCGCAACATGAAGCTGGACTCTAAGACAGCCTCGTTCTACTATTCCCGGCCTTCGGAATGGCTCGATGGACGTCGCGCCGTCGTGCCATGTGCTCATGTTCTTGGGGGTGGTAGCTCCATCAACTTCATGGTATGCATACCTCATTGTTGACAGTTAACATCCGTCATGGCTGATGGCTATTCTAGATGTACACCCGTGCATCTGCTTCCGACTACGACGACTGGGAATCTGCCGGCTGGAAGACCGACGAACTCCTGCCCTTGATGAGAAAGCACGAGACCTACCAACGTGCGTGCAATAACCGCGACATCCATGGCTTCGAAGGGCCTATCAAGGTCTCGTTCGGAAATTACACCTACCCGATCATGCAGGACTTCCTCCGAGCGGCCGAGTCGCAGGATATCCCTATTACTGATGACTTGCAGGACTTGAAGACTGGGTCAGTAGCTAGCACTGTATATCGGAGTCTGATACTAACTTTGCTTGCTCAGCCACGGAGCCGAACATTGGTTGAAATGGATTAACCGTGATACCGGTACGAGTCTTTTCCGCCTTTGATCCATTATGCCGATGTTAATGACAATCTCCACCAGGACGGCGCAGCGACTCCGCCCACGCTTATGTCCACAGCACCCGATCCCAGTACTCGAACCTACACCTCAAGTGCAACACCAAGATTGACAAGGTTATCATTGAGAACGGCCGCGCAGTTGGAGTCGCAACGGTTCCAACCAAGCCGTTGGCAGGCCACAACCCACCGCGGAGGGTCTTCAAGGCCCGCAAGCAGATAATCGTCTGCGGTGGCACCCTCAGCTCCCCGCTCATTCTCCAGCGGTCGGGCGTCGGGGACCCCGAGAAGCTTCGCCGGGCTGGCGTCGAGCCCCTGGTGAACCTACCGGGTGTTGGCCGCAACTTCCAAGACCACTACCTGACCTTCTCGGTCTACCGAGCCAAGCCGGACGTCGAGTCCTTCGATGATTTCGTGCGCGGAGACCCCGAAGTCCAGAAGAAAGTCTTCGACGAATGGAACATCAAGGGCACCGGCCCGCTGGCGACGAACGGCATCGAAGCCGGCGTGAAGATCCGGCCCACCCCGAAGGAACTGGAGGAGATGAAGACCTGGCCGACCAACGACTTCTACAAGGGCTGGGAGAGCTACTTCAAGAACAAGCCCGATAAGCCTGTGATGCATTACTCCGTCATCGCTGGGTGAGTTCTCCCCCCGGCCTCAATCTCTCTTTGCCTCCCTATCTAACGATCGATCCCCTTCAGCTGGTTCGGCGACCACATGCTCATGCCCCCTGGCAAGTTCTTCACCATGTTCCACTTCCTGGTAAGTCAACTGCCCTACCTACCTACCACCACCCCGTACATGCAGCCACCACCCAACCCATCATGCTCACTCGTCTGGGATTGATCAGGAATACCCCTTCTCCCGGGGCTTCACGCACATCCAATCTGCAGACCCCTACGAAAGCCCCGACTTCGACGCCGGCTTCATGAACGACAAACGCGACATGGCCCCCATGGTCTGGGGCTACATCAAGTCCCGGGAGACCGCGCGCCGCATGCACGCCTACGCCGGCGAGGTCACGGGCATGCACCCGCACTTCTCGTACGACTCGCCGGCGCGCGCCTTCGACCTCGACCTCGCCACCACCAAGGCCTACGCGGGGCCTAACCACCTCACCGCGGGCATTCAGCACGGTAAGCAGCTCCCTTCCACCACAAAACTCAAAGGAAAATACTAAAACACTCCGAACAAAAAAAAACAGGCTCCTGGTCCGCCCCCCTGGAACCCGGTACCTCGCCGACGACCACCTTCCTCAACTCCAACAAGCAGGACACCCGGGACGAGCTCAAGTATACGGCCAAGGATATCGAGCATATTGAGAAATGGGGTGCGTTTTTGTTCCTCGCTTTGTGTCCCTTTCCACCCCCATCCCCCCCCCTTTTTTTTTTCCCCAAAACCTCTTTCCTTCCACAAGACCCAAAGAGACACCACACTAATCTGCATCAAAAGTCCAACGCCACGTCGAAACAACCTGGCACTCCCTCGGAACCTGCAGCATGGCCCCGAGGGCCGGCAACGCCCTCGCCCCGCAGGGTGGAGTCGTCGACGAGC